CAGCCTGCCCATCCCCACAGGTCCCTCTTCTCCGAGGGCGCGGGGGGCAGTGGCACTGTGCAGCTGCGAGCACGACGGGGAGGCCCCGCTCGCTCCCCGGGCCCTGCTCCTGGCGCGCCTGGGCTGCGGGGCAGCACATCCTGAGCGCGCGCAGCGACCGGGGCGCCGCGCGAGCTACGCACGGGAGAAGCAGGGAAGGCACCTCGGGACTCGCAGCACAGCCCCAGCCCTTTACGTCTGGGAGGCCAGGCCCGCGGCTCCCGCAGCGTTCCGCTTCTGAGTCACCGCCTGGGAGGACCGGCGCTGCTGTCATCTCGCAAGGCCAGAGGCAAGTCAACACAAATACCAGGTCCTCCTTTCAGAACCCGTCCATTTGCCTTCTTCACCTCTTGCTCACAGGCTCCTGACCCAGGCCCGAGACCTGTCTGGCCACATATCTAGCACCCGGACTTTCTAGAGAAGCCAGGCAGGGGAAGCAAACAGAGGAACATCAAAGGGCAGGGAGGTGATGCAGCCCGGCCGGGCGGCTGCCCCGCACGGGGCCTGGAAGCACACGGCAAGAAGGGCAAGCAGCAGGGCCAAGAGGTCCCTATGGTTCACCAGCACAGACCCTCCATGCCCCAATCCGTGCAGGCAGAACAGCAACTGAGAGATGCAGCCACACGCCTGGAAAAGCAGGGCAGAGCAGGGCCCTCGAGAACAGGGAAACCACAGGTGGAAAGAAAGCGCTGGCAGATCCTAGCAGGACAAGGGGTGGCATCTCTGGCACCACCGTCAAGACTGGGCGAGCCGATTCCGGGGAGCTGCCCAGGCAGGTAGGTGTTTCCTGCGGCCTTTGCCAGTCTGTTCAGCTCTTCCACAAAGGAAGAGCTCTTCCACTAAGGGCCAGGCCGGGGCAAAGCACCTAGTGCTTGTCTGGCGCCCTGTAAATAACGAATGCAAAGTGCTGCAGCTTCCCAAGCTGGTTTCTCAAGGCTTGACCAGCCGGGGAGCCACACGGAAGAAGGGGGCAGCCTGTGGGAGCCAGTTGCCTAGAGCAGGGCAAAAAGCAATACCCTGGAAGCCTTGCCCTGCTCTTAGGCTTGACAAAGCAGTTCAAGTCCTTCCCGAACCCTGGAGCCCCGCCGATCAAACACAGGTCTCTGTGTGGGGACACTGTAGCGAGTCAGGGCCTCGTGCGTGAGCTGGGCGGGATGGGAACACACAGCACACACAGGTGAGAGGAGCTACTGGTCCCCACGAGCAGGCTCAAAGCTCCCAGGCGCGGGCGCCTGCCAGTCCCCGAGAGCAACCTGGCCACCAGGGAGGCTGCCAGAGCACCAAGGAGGGACCGCGTCGGGCTTTCGGCAAGGGCAACGGGGAAGGCAGGCGAGGTGGAGAAAAGCACCCGGGTGACTTACAGCTTACCCAGCAATGTCAGCACCAGAAGCAGGGTCAGTGACACCTTCATCTTACTCTGAAAAGAACAGCAGAGAGGACATGCGCGTTAGCTTTCCCCAGGAAGGAGACTGGCTGCTCGCAATGGAATTGAACCCCAAGGTCAACAGAAGACTTGGTGCCGGCCTTTGGAGAGGCAGGAACCAGAGCTTCTCTGGATGTCGGGCTCTTGCAGTCAGCCCCGCTAAGCCCTGCTTACAGCTGGGAGCCTGAAACCCACTGAAACACAAATGTCAGATATGTCTTTGGTTTCAGAGCGCTTAGAGCCCTAGAAAGGAAGAGAGAAGGGGAGGGCTCTGCCTGAAACCCCTTTGCGTTTCCCCCAAGTTATTGAACTTTCCGGTGGTTTGAGGGTCGAGGCTCTGCCTGCTGAACTGAGGCACGTAGAGCTGGCAACGCTGCGCAGAGGGCAGCACTTGTTTCTCTCACACACTCAGGGAAGTTTGGGTGCAGACCCCTCATCTTGCACGTGGGTTCCCTGCTTCATGGTGCTGCACCTGAGAAATACTTCTGCTTGAAGCCTCCAGGATCCATGCAGACAGGGCCATCTTTGGTCACTGCATGCAGTTTAACCTGCTGCACGTTTCTGTAAATGTAAAGGCTAAAAGCTGGTGTCTTCTTTCTTCATACGGTCGGAATGGCCTGAAGGCCAAGGAAGAATTGTCATCCCTGGGAACAGGCTCACAGGTTCTCCTCCCCTTTCCACAAACAAAACCCAGAAGTGGCACCAAGCCTGCTGTGATGCTCTCAAATCTGTCTTCAAAAGCAAGAACTGTTTGCGGGTTGGGTTTTTGGAGGCGGAGGGGAAGAAACACGTAGAATATGCTGTTTGCATTTCTGCCATGACACAGTTTACTGAGCAAGCCATGCCTGCTCTGAATATAGCACGCACATGACCTACAAACACGGCAGGATTCATGCTCAGCTCCAACGCTCCCGGCCGGTGCGGTGCATCGCGGAGCTAGAGCTTGCCCGGGCTCCCTCTGCTCCAGGTTCAAAATGGGGGGCTGAATTACAACAACAGCAACAACAAAGCCATCAGTGCACAGAAGCCCCCTGGGATATTGACAGTCCCAACTTCCCAAACTCTCTACACTCAAATTACTGAGTTATAGAGAAGCTCTGACCCTTGTCAGCAAATCCTTTCCAGCCTTATTGCCCTACTTCTTGGAACAAGGCCTTGTGCTCTCTTGGAAGGTGTGTTTGCAGGGCCTCCTTCTGCGGCATGCACCAGTCAATAATTGCACTGTGCACTTCAGCTGAAGGCAGCAGCCCCTTACTAAGGCTGTTACACTGGAGGTAATACTGAGACATTCAAATACCTCCAAAGGATAATTACCTTCACCAAAGGGATTAAAAAAATATGCAGATATTATGCCTTTGCTTTTACCTGCTTTTGCACGTGGGCTCAGAACTCTAAGTCTCTCTTACTCTCAGGAAAAAGAACAACAAAAGCAAACATGATAGCAAGCACTACTCACTGCGCAAGGCTTGGGGAAGGCTGGTTCTTTCATGAAGGGCTCTTCAGTGACTACTTCACAGACTCTGAATGAAGCAGATATTAACTCTTCCTGAGGTTGTGCGTGCAAGTCATTTTAAAGTTAGCAGTCTTTGGTTTCAGAGCTCTTCTTTCAGGTTCAGCTTGGTGGTCAGTTCTAACGGGGAAGAGGAAGTGGAGAGCTACACTGGCGTACTGACGAAACAGGAGGCAGCAGGGACTCGCACGGAGAGGTGAGGGCATTACAGACGCGCGTGCGTGCAGCTACCAGCTATGCAGCTCCGTAAGGAGGACGCTCTTGCCAGACACCGGCTGGGCCTCACTGCTCCCAGGCCCCCGATTGCAGCAGAGCGCTCCCGTGAGCTGCTGCGCAGCGAGTCACACACCGAGCGCTCCTGGGCGAGCAGGATCGGAGCAGGGATCGGAGCAGGCTAAGGAACAACCTGCGCAGGATCCTGACAGTCCCGTCCGCTGCATCTTGTCCTGCCGAGGTACGACCAGCAAGCACCTTCTCTGAGCGCTTCTATTCGTACGACTGGGAGCCACGGTTTGGCAGAGAGCCAGAAAGAGCCCCTCAACGATGTTTCCATAGCACAGACTGCTTCTCTATTTTCAGAAGCAGATTTGTTTTCTCTGGTACCCCCACACCCAGCCGTTCTGGGAGCTTATTTTCATCTTCTCTCTTCCTATGGGATACCACAGGAATTGCTGTACTCTACCCCAGAGAAACGGATCTAAGGGGACGCAGAGCAAGTTTGACACAGCCAGGGAGGAAGAGCAAGCTTCGCTCCTGCTCAAAACAATTCACAATCCCAAACACTAGCGGCTGCCGGCTGGGAGCTTAGCTTTGCCCCCAGGATTTAGCCTACTGCTTGTACAGTGGTCTCAGTTCAAGGCAAACATGGTGCAGACGAGAGCAGTTACTCTGTTCCACAAAGAACCACTGTGAGATGAGGTACCACTTCTGAAAGTGGAACAACAAACCACTTCTCTCCGGGCTGCATATCAGTCCCATCTCCTGAGCAAGACTAGACAGAGAAAGTATGTTGAAGTATTTGTCATCAGGAAGCACCAGCTTTTAAAGTATTAGCTTATTGCAAGCAGGAGACAGTTTATTTACTAAATACTATTTATTGTTAAAATACTATTTCTTATTTTATTAGTTTAGTGCAGGCAGAACTCAGGTTCCCTTTGGGGAAGTCAAGCCTGTTGCTTAAGCACAGTCCCATCACCACAGGGCAGATTCTACAGCTGAGCAACTGCAGCTTTACGAGTTCCAGTCACTCCACAGTGGTCACCTACCTTAACCCAAGGAAACACATTTGCCGCTTAGAAGGAAACAAAACAGTTTATTGGCAATGGCACAAAGCTGGCAGTAAACTTGTGACACATATGTCAAAAGAGACAATCTGATCAACGCTCCATACAGCAAACAAGCAGAGGACAGCAGCTCTTAAAAGTACCTGCAGAGAGAAGAATCTGCCCGCTCTCATCTATGCCACTCATTATTGAACAAGGTTAGCGAAAGAGAAACAACTCTTTCTTACAGGGCCGTACCGATACGTTTAGCTGTTTCTTTAGAACCGTACCTAGAAGAGACAAATTACACAACTGTTCTCCCAAACATGAAACTTTGCTTTGAACACTGCCTTAAGTCAACAGTTGAGGTAGCTCGGGTTTTATGCTATCCCAGGTCCACAGTCCCCACTTCCGATAAGAAAAGTATATGAGTTGGGTTTCACCTCTGCACACAATAGGAGGTGCAACTATAGACGCAGTCATTGCACAAAAAAATATAATTAGATGCAACAAGGGAAAAATACAGCATTGTGGCAGATAGCAAGTTAAAACAAAAACAAAAACAAAAAAAAAAAGAAAGGAAAACATTAGCAACAAAATGGCGATGCTGTAAATAAACAGCAGATCAACCCAAGAAGCAATTAAAAAGTAGTTTGTTCCCCTTGCTCCAACGGCTAGCACACCTAATACCAACCTAGTCAGCCTCATTTATGGCTCTGGCAAATACCTCCCAAAAGAATTGGGAAGAAAATGTTACCATACACAGTGATCATTATCCTAGAGAGCAACCACATTCTCTGAATTAGTTTGTGCTTCAGGCAATTTGAACACAGTGGCACAGGGAAAGAGGAATATCACCCTGACAATGTAGAAAATGGATCAGCATGTAAACAGAGAAACACGGCATCCTCAGGTTGTTGGTAAGTAACAAGCTGTACAGCTGTAGGCACTGAGGATGCTGTAAGGCACTGCAGAAACGACATTTTAAGAGTTTGGTGTTTTTTCTTCCAGTAAGTTAGAAGGATCAGGAATCATTTCTGTGCTTAAATCAAAAATAATCATTCCATCAACATTATTTTTCCAGTCCACCGAGTTTGGAGCAGTTCCTTCAATCTGTTCTTATTATCCAGCAGCCCTCATACCTATCTGGCAAGGCTGTTCAATGCCATGATTTTGGTCTTTCACCATCGCTTTGGTCCCTCCTCAGTAGGGCTCCTCATCATCTGTCTCCTAAACGGGAAGCAAGGAGAGAAACATTGAGTCCCTGTATGAAAACATGAAGTGATTCACAGCCTAGAAATCTGAGTCTGCGAGGCTCCTGACAAAAGCTTAAACATCTTCCAAAGTGTTGGTGTACTTGAAAAAAACCCCTACGTCTTGTAGTTATGTAACTACTTGCAGCTAACTCCATTTGACTTGTCACAGACACACGCAGATAAATTGCCACTGCATAATTGATACATGAAGTGTGTTTTAAGAGAAACAAGAGACAAACCATATCAAGGGAAGAACCCTTGCATTAAAACAGCAAATCAAGCAACATATATTTATTTCCACCTTCACACCCTCCCTGGCTTTGTATTAGAGAAGCGTGCCTCTGGAAAGCTTCCTCTGCGTGACGGGAGCAAAGACGAAAGCAGTCTCAGGGCAGGCACATTACGGAGCTTGCTTCTGCAGCGTGACAGGCTTACGCGGGCAGAACTTCAGCTTGCCAACAAAACAAAGAAGTAGAGCAAGTGGGGAAAGCACCCTGCAATTCCAGCACTATACAGACCCTGTTAAAGAATTTAGTTGCTATGTTAGCAGGTGAGCCCAACTGGAAGACAATCTGTCTCACAAAACAAAACCAACAAGCAAAGAAACCCACGTTACCTGAACAAAAATAAATCCTAAGAGTTCAATGGGATTGGTGTGACCAAAACAGTGCAACTGGGGAGATCTCCAAGAAAGATGTAAGAGTGCAAAAGCTCCCATCTTCTTTGCAAAAGGAAAATGGATTTAAATATGCCTGCCTCCGTTCCCCACCACGGCAGTGTCAAACTCCGAGCACAGAGCCAAGATCTGATTTTGCAGAGCCTTTATAGTAACTACACAGCACAGAGGCTACCACTTAAAACTCTCAACTTTCGTTTTCAGCTGTGAGCTTTGGGGGCTCTACAGTTAAACAAAAAGATCCGTTTGGGAGATCTCCAGGTAAGTTCCCTCCCCAGTGTCACAGTACGATTAGCAGTCCTCACTTCCAACAATCCAGCTGTGGAAGATATCGACGAGCAAGAGCCTCGCCACGGGGGATGAGGCATTACAAGCTCTACCTGCTGTTACTGTAACACCTCTGAGGACTGAGGTCAACAAAACCGCCGACGAAAACATCAACTTTCACTTACCACACACTTCCAACACCAGACTCTGAGTCTCCCCAAGCAGTTGTCTGTCTCTGTGTATTCAGGCCTGCAGAATATGCACAGGATTAGGTTGGACTCTCCCAACACATGCACTGCTATCTCGTACAGACTGAGTTCTAGATCTGCCATGCTGAACTGAAGGCTCTTCACCACCCATTTGCTTCTGCACAGCGAATCCAAAAGGAGTAAAAAGGGGTAAGGTACCTCTTTCTAAAGGGAGGCATTTCACTTAAGCGCTGTGAAAGAATACAACAGGTTTTGTTGTTAGGCTGGAAAGTTTCACAATACTAAACACAGCACTGTAGCAAGCCCCGCCTCTATCCTAAACTCTAGTAATGAATTCATTGCGGAGGTGGGTACAACTGCAGTAGCAGTGATCTTACTATTCTCAATACATGCACCATTCTGAGCTCTGCCCGTAGAGAATAACGTCCCGTTCGGAAGGGTAATCCGTCTCCCAGGCCCATCCGATCCCTGGCATTTCTGCTCAGGCCGTGATCAAAGGCACTCAGCCTGCTTTGCTCTCTTGGATATCCGGTATCAAAACCCAACACCTAAGCCCACATAGGCAAAATATCTTGCTGATATAGGCTGAAATAAATCTGAACACAGAAGTGAAAAATTCTCCAACTATAAGTCGCCTCAGCTCCACTGCCTCCTGCTATTAACAGAAAAAGAGGATGTACAGCATGTAAGGCGATGCTCCAGCACAGGCATTTTCCAAAAGCTTTCTTACCACTACCTAGATTAGGCTTACGGAGAACTAGATCTGAACGGCTGAACTGCAAGTGCTGAAGGTCAAGAAACAAAGGTCCTGTACCTACAGGTCAAGGTGGAAATACAGGATTTAAGTTCCAACCCAAACTTACTCATCAGACACTTCGATGGAAGATTTCTTACAGCCAGATTTTTTTTTCTCCTTCAGCACTCCAAATTTCCTTCCCATCCTCACCAGCAGCAGAACGACCACAAGGACGGAGGGGAGAAATACTAATATGGACAGCAGCATTGCTGAAGTTAGCTGGAAGGAAAGACCTGCAAGAGAGAAAAAGCCCAGCTGTCTCCATGACAAATATTCACCCGGGGCACAGGCTGCTAGCCTTTGCATATAAACCACAGCGCTGGCAGAGGTGAAACAGCTTGTGACCAAGTCTTCGGGGCTCCTGTCCCACATCCTGCCCCGCAGAGCGCTTTGCATACAAAAATCTACGAAGGCAGGCAGTCATGGTATCCTGATGGCCATGCCCAAACTGTAGGTTTGGGGCAGCTCTTATGTGCAGGACAGACAACGAAACATTACTGAGATAAGAATTTGTGATGTGAGAGTATTTTTAGACCGAGACTTCTCACATAGCACAACATATTCTACTGCTGCTAGACTGGGAGACTCCAATTTCTGGATTGCCCCCTGAGCATCCATGAAAGCAACCCCTTGCTCTTGGGGGAAATGTATCCTGTTCGGGCTCAGCCTAAACAAATGCACATTTCTGTTTTCTGTCTCTTCACCACAGTTTCCTCTCTCGCTTCCTGTTCCTACTAAATCAAATGGTTCTCAGCATATTTCATTAAGAAAGGAGGTTTGAATAATTCTTGCTGAAATTCTTACAGGAACTCCAGGGAACCAATTCCACAGGCAATGCTCAAACTCTTACGGGTCTGACAAAGCAGATGTCTCGCCCAGATGAGGGTGCACTAAAAACAGAGCCTTACCCCTCTCTGTCACTATCAGGACTGTCTGGGGGATGTTGTGGTGCACGTCCGGAGGATTCTTGACACTGCAGATGAAGGTGCCGTTATCACTCATCACTAGGCTGTGGATAGCAATGGAAGCATCACCCTGGGCAATATTCCCAATCCATGATATTCTGTCTTTGAACTTTCCCACAGTTGTTGGGTATGCAACAGACTGATAGTGAAAAATCTAGAGGAAGAAAAGACAATAATTGCTCCAATAAAACAGTCTCCTAAGAAATCAAAGTAAATTCTCCTTTAGATTTTAAATAATATTTTAAATAAAAGGGGTACACGTTAAAAAGGGTTCTTATGGCCCCAAGACCAGATAGATGTTCCGCAGGCTGCATGCAGGACAGCTTCCTTTAGGAAGTCTCCCCACCAGTTGCTCTACATTCACTCTACATCTCTGGGCAGAATACAGTAAAGTCCTTGTGCCAAAAGCCAGAGATCCATTTATCACCCTTATGCTTTAAGGTGGAGTATTTTTTTTTGTCCGAGGGACACTAAAGCAGTTGTGAATAGGAGCGGAGGTACCAGCGAGAGTCCCTAGTCGCTGCAGACACACAGCAGGGCAACCAGAGGGAACACAGCGCGCCACGGTGACCACGCGGGCAGGCTTGCAAGCAGCCAAGGCTCCCGCTCTACTTACGGTCTCCATGGGCCCCCCGCCGAGGGGCCGGTAGCTCCAGTCCACCGTGAGGCTCTCGCTGACGGGCGCGGAGGACGCGAAGGAGCATCGCAGCGATACCTGCTCGCCCACGAAAGCCCGCGCCTTGGAGCTGGCTTTGATCTCGAGCGAGAGCGCCCCGCGCGCACCTGAGGAGCGGCGAGCACGGGGCACACGGGTCAGGCGGCC